TTGCAAGTTCAAATCTCATTACGGACAACTTTATAATTTGAGCTAATTAGCAACTTTTCAACTATTTACTACTTTTGAGATACTTTTCTACTACTTAGCATGTTAGCTAACCCTTCCCCTAACCCTACCCCTTTTTAGCTAACCCTTCCCCTAACCTTAACCCTTTTAGCTAATTCTTCCCCTAACCCTAACCTTAACCCTTTAACCTAACTCCTAAACTTAACCCTAAACCGTAGCCTAGCTAATGTTAGCCAGCTATCTAACGTTAGCCACCTAGCTAGAATTTGTAACATATCATAAGTTTAGCAAATTCGTAACATATTGTACTTTTTGAAAATTCGTAACATATTGTATGTTTTGCAAATTCGTAACATATAATACATTTTTCAAATTCTTAACATAGTGATGCCAGGGGGAAATAGTTTCAGGGCCGGTATGGGGGAGATGTCAGAGCTTTGACTGGTGCTCCCCTAAGCTGAGGGGAAAGACAGACATATCTGCTCTTTACAGTACAAAATAACATCAGAATGCGAGAGGGAAACCTCTCGAACTGAGGGTGTATAGAGGGTGGGAGGGGTTGCTAACAGCAGTCAGTGCCTTCCTTTTGGTTGCCCAGCTGTTCCTGTGGCCGACAGATGATTTTGCTGGCTGACAATTGTGGTCAGCTTGTTTTTACTCCTCACAGTCAAGTTGAAGGTTAGGATTCTCTCCAAACTGCTGTACACCGTCTCCAGAATATCTTGACCTTGACCATCTTTATTACCTTGCTCTCTTTCTTCCTATCCTCTCCCTCCCATTTCTAATTTGCAAAAAACAGTCCTCACAAAAATCATCTGAAAAAGGGAAGACATAAAATAAAACTGAAAATACATTTTGTAGCTTTGTACATTTTGACCTTAGTTTGAAAGACTGGTAAATGATATATTCTAGACGTATTCAGAGCGTAGTCAGAGCTTGGAAATTTCTCTAAAGCTTTTGTTGGTTATTCAAGAATAACACTGTCTCTAATCTCTACTGTTTTCTGATAAGTACAGCCTCTCTGCAAATTTTGGGGCTATTTCAAAAAGTGAGATATATCTGTAAAATCCATGTTTGAGTTGTGAAATAATTTTTTTAAATAAAGCACATAATCTATGTAAAACTTCAAAAAGAAAGATTGAGTCAGAAAGACAAGTTCCACAAAATCACAAGTTCTCTTTGAAACAAATTCTTACAAAACAAATCAAAACATGCATGAATGGAAGATAGATAGTTACTCTGAGTTTTTCTCTGAAAGGACAGTGTAATCAACTCCTTTAATTTCTTATTAGTTTTCCTTCGATTCTATTCCATGCATTCAATTTAGCTGAATCTCATTGATAATTATTTTGTTCACATTCTCGTATTCCTTGGCAATATAATAGCAGCACCATGAAGACAACATGCTTGGTATTCAGTCTGTGTCCAAAATGATCAATTACATTTCAAACGAGATGCGCCTCTGTCAGATGAAAGCGTTGATGATTTATATTAATGGAATCTCTGTGTGTCTGCCTGCTGGGTTATTGGCATTTTGTCAAGCATACATTTCCCAGAAATTGGAGAAGTTAGACATCAAAGCTATACACTATTAATTGATTTCCTAGCAGATAGCTGTCCTGTAGCACAACAGCGTAGACAACCAAAGAGTTCTAACCTTCATGCATTTGAGTTTCTTGAAAACATTGTTTAGTTTTGGGAACAAAACAATTCTGTCAGTGCAAGAGTTGTTTTTATTAATACAATATGTGATTGAATAGGGTTTCTAGGTTTACAAAGGGACACCAAAAGTAAGATTAAATCGGGGGTGAAAGAGGGTAATTGGAATTTGAACATAAATAATTCACTTGATAAAACATTTGATTTCATAATGCTGTATTATTTTGAATGCAGAATGCAATATTCAACCTGTTTGTGGTTTTGTTTATTTTGATTAATATGAGATCAAGTCTAAATTATCACTCTGAAGCTGAAAAACTGTTTCCTTCATTAATCAATGGGACTGGCAGGAACAGTAATAATAATTTAAATAAAAGAGACAAGGAGACCATAATACCAATTTCATTGGGAGGAACAGTGATCATTTGAATAAGATGAGAACAGCTCAAGGCCCACTCTGTGACTGTCACGACTTCCTCCGAAGCTGCCCCCCCTCCTTGTTCAGGCAGGCTTCGGCGTTCGTCGTCACCGGCCTTCTAGCCACTGCCGCTCCATATCTCATCATTCCATTTGTCTTGTCTTGTCAATTACACACACCTGGTTCATATCCCCTCATTAGTACATGTATAAGTGTTCCCTCTGCCCCCCTTGTCCTTGTGGGTGATTGTTATTTGTGAGTTGAGTGTAGCTCGGTTGAGCTACCCGTACCTTGTATTTCTGGTGCTATTGTTCCCCGTATGCCTGTATTTTGTTGACGCTATCCAGCGTAACTGTGTCCTACGGAATAAACTCTGTATTCTGTGATTTACCCTCCTGCGCCTGACTCCTTCAAATCACATTCTCACAGTGACATGTCATCTCCATTGCCTTTTGTCTGATTGTGACCCCATTATGCTAATGATGGAGTCGGCATTGATTTATGCGAGGCCCTGAGGGCAGTGGGAGGCGATAAAGTACCAGACTGGAAAGGTAGGTAGGAATTGTATTATCATATAAAAAAGGAAGAGAAATGTAGTCATGGGAACTGACCTTCATGGCATCATTTGGAGATATTCTGCAGGGATAACAATAAAAGGTACTGCAATACAAATTGAAGATATAGGTTGAACTCAAGTAATAATTAAAGCTATGAAACACTAAGGTTTTTCATTGTCCTCACCTTACCTAGCTAAAAAAGGCTCTATGGTTGATTGTATCAGTCATTAGGATGCTGAAGTTGATTTTTTTTTTAATGCCCATCATGCCACATGCATGCCTGCAGAGCTGTCATTTAGGAGAGATGTGATTGGCAGAGGACTTAAAAAGTCTACTCCGCCCCCAGAAGAACTCTGGGCAAGTCACCCATCTGTCATATCCTGACAATCCTTTATTTACCTTGCCATCGGCAGTTTGGATGTTGTCAGTCATGTATTAACCTAAATAAAAGCTGCCCCAAAAGATACAAAGGAACGAGATGTGGTGGATGAGAGAGGAGATGAAAGACAGAAGATGACAGAAGTGAGGGTCATCATTGAAAATAATCCTGCAGCAACATGAAATGTGAATTATTATGTGGATTATAATTAATTTAAATGTTTATAGGGGTACTTTTTTATATGGGAAAATCAAGTCTGAAATTTCAAAGTGGAAATTATAAACTTCCCATGCCTTTTTAAACCTCAAATACACTACACGTTTTACATTTCCTACAATGCAGGAAGGTTCTCCTGCAACAGGGTGATCAAATTAAGATCCTACATCTGTATGTTGACTGCATTTGTTATGGTTGATATAGTATGAAGTTATTGTATTCAGTCAATCTCCAGGAAAGGATTGAGTAATGTATGTTTTCCAACAAACTTTCAGACTCAATGGAGAGCATTAAGAAGCCAAGGTCTTCTGTGGTGCTATATGATGAATCAAATCAAATGAGAAGCCAACTGAATAGAAACACAATTCTAAAGGCTGTTGTGGTGAAACAGGGTCAAGGTGTGTGAAGCATGATTCACTTTCTCTAAAGAGTTAAATGAATAGGGAGGTTGACTAGGCTGATCTTGGGAGCTCTGCTGTGGTGGCTAAAGGCAGTTTGTATTTATGTCCCTAAACCTGCCTCCAGGCTCCAATCATAGAGCCAGGCCTGCACTGGCAGCTTCAATAGTGCTAATCAGATTCACTGGAATATGCCTGGGCTGTGTGGATGAGGAAGGTTCCACAATAACTTCCTGCCTGGCCCTCAGGTTTGTGAGGTGTCTTCAAGCGGGAGAAATGCTTTTTATTTCAATGAAATTACCCTGATGAGCTTTGGTATATGGGTACTCAATTATATTAAAGGCTATGGTACAGCCAAGGCCTAGTTCATTCAAGGTAAATTCAGCTAGCTCACATAAAGGGAAACTTTTACTTGTTTGAGGTAGTCTTTATTGGTAATAATGGTGGCCTTGCATACTGAAGTTCAGGATGTTTGTGAAGTGCTATCATAAAATAGCCTTAAATAGATTCCATTACTGTGTATGGGGACAGCTTCTACTCAACTCCTTTATTTGTTCAGACTGTCGAAGCAGACAGGCAGACCTTCCATGCCTTCCACTACTCTGGGCCTATAATTTACCAGCTGAATGGTATTGGAGTTGGTCTTTGTTCACAATCACACAAACAGTGTTTGAATTATTCTCCAGCCCATGTAAAACACAGATGAAAATCTCTTTGCTTCAATCAATGTTTAATTTAGACAGTAATAATAGAGTTTTAGTATTGCTAGCGGCTACAGCTTCTGGCAAAAACTTTCTGGCATATGAAGCTTTTCAAGTAGATGTATTGTTGTGTTCTCATGAATCCTAAAACAGGGTTATTTGGGTCAGATTCATTTTACAGGCTCCTCTTTATCAATATAAGGATATAATAGTCATTTGGGTAAACCTGTTTTAAATTGCATATGAATTTGAGTTTGTTTGTTTAATTCAACCTTTTTTGAGTGTTGTGTTGGGAGGTTAAAATGTGTTGTTGAGGGTGTTAGTCAACAATTTAACAGTGTGTAGTTGTGTGTAAGACAGTGGGTGTTTCTCACAGCCAGTCTATATGTCTGAGAAAGTAGTGTGCACACTCTACAGACAGAAGCATATTTGATTTTGTGTCAGAGACGAAGCTCATGGAAACCACAAGTTGCAGCAGTGCAAACATAAATAGAGTGAGTACACAAGTTCTTACATATAGCACACTGCTTGATTCATGATAAGATCAATAACGTGCATTATTTCTCGTTTGATTGTTATTAATATTAAAAGAACAAAGTTGTTTCCGGTTGAGGAGTATGCTCAAAGGACCCCGGCCCAACTGTTTTCTGTGAGATGGAACTGTTCAGGACGGCAATAGTTCTGCCAGTTCTGGTCCTATCTCAAGGTAACACAGTTTAATCTAATATTTCTACTTTGATTGCATTCAATTATATTATCTTCATTGGCTCTTTTGAAGGAAAGTATGGCAGTTATACTCTATGTACATAGAATTGTTTGTATGTGTTGTTTGAAAACACTAAAGATATGCACATCAAAATAGTTGGCAGAGGAGTCACCATATTTTAAGATTAATTTCTGTTTGTTTTTTATTCATGTCTGAATGTACAAGAGCATAGCGTTTTATTCTACTTGTTGACAGCATGTGTTGGTGTGTTCAAGCAAGGAAATAAAAGATTAATACAAAAAGGGGCTGACAGGAGTGATGCCAATTAGGTGTAGGTTAAATGCTGCATAATCTTACAGAGGATTAGTTTACTTCCCAATGTAAGGTGTTTACTGCAACAGCCAATACGATTCATCGAACACTTAACTAGCTAAAATTCAAAGAGCGCTTGAAGCAGCATAAATTTGGAGGGAATTCAAATCAACCAACCATAGTAAACAATGATTGGGTGAAACATAAATGTTTTTGTATGAATCACTAATTTGTCACAGAGTGATACATAAACAAAGTGATAGTTCAATATTAATTGCTTTCTAAGGAGGAGAGCTGTGACATGGGTTAAAGCATGAACAAACAATTATTTTGCTTCACAAAGATTATGCATTATTTGCATTGATTCCTCAAACATTGCTAGTGTGAAATTGGTGTTAATTCAACATTGAGCCACAGATGTTATTCATGGCATACCCATTTAACAACTCAATTAACCAATTGAGGCAGTTGATAATAGCTGTTATGAAAACCAATGTAAATATAGTGATTTACAGACTCCATATTACAGTTTACAAAATGGAAAATATTATTCTGATTAGCGCCAAATTCAATAACCTGTTTGTAATGTACCGCTGCGTGCCCTGGGTTTCATATAGCATTGACAACACGTAGTAGGATGAAATAACTGATTGGACAGCTGCATTAATACTCCCATCTACGCATAACTACAATACTTTTTGATTTATCTTAGTTTAGTTTGTTGTTGTTGTTTGTCATATTTCAGCCTTACTAAATACCGTCTACTCTGTTCCGCGGAACTTCTCTGGGTCGGGAGAGACTGATGAGCAGCAGACATCCAATCTAAGTGAGTTCCTATTTTTATTTAAATGGTTGGTATTATGCTAAAAAGAGATTCAGATTTGGTTCCGGAGGCCACTGCAATCTATATCGATCTTACTCTCTGAATACCACCCCACATAACTTCATAAACCCCAAATTCTAATCCCTCGTGCCCATCCAGTCAAATTGCTAGGTGCAACAAACCTCAAGCAACAATCCCGCAGAGAACTTGATTGCTTATACTGAGAGGGAAATGAGATGAGGCAAAGGCATTTTTTTTTTTACTATAATGATACAGGACACCAGCAATTAAGCCACAGTGAGACAATATTTTCATTGTTCTGAGGGTGATGATGATGTGTAAGGCTCCTTTAGTACAAAGTGGGAGGAACATCCCACACAAACATGCTCCCTCTAACACACAAACAAAAAGAAAAATAAGAAAATAATGGGTCGATTGCAATTCATGTCATAGAGGATATCAAAGGGTCCAGTGGATTCAGATTTTTAAGGAAAATACTATCAAGCAGTTATTCCGTTATAATTATACTACACTAACCTGATTTTCATTCTCTATTTGTTGAAGCTAAATTAAGTGCAACATAATATCAAGGGTTAAATTGTGTGAGAAATTCCACCACATTTAAATAGGGCAAAAAGTGAAGACATGGCTGAAACCTGCTCCAGTTGAAATGCAGTACCAAAGGCTCCAGTGTCACATGGTTTCAAACCATCGTGAGTATTTGGTCCCGTGGTGTTTCTAGAATCAGGTAGGTCGGCTTCAGTGTCCCCCTCTGAATTCACCACCCAGTGACATTTCCACAGGACATGACTCACAGGATGTGGCTGCTCTGCTGAACGTCTGCAAAGAGCACAGCAAACGATAGGCCAACAAACAGCTAGGGCATTCAATGTGTGTGGGTGTGTGTGTTATGGTGTATAACATGTACTGTACATGTGGTTACACTACATGGGGAAATATAAATAAACAGTCATCTGTATTTCACTCTCATTGATTATGTATCTCTCCATCCCTCCAGCCATATCTAACCCCCCCAGGCTATCTCAGCATTGCTCTGGGGTTGTGGAGGTGCTCCATCAGGGGCTGTGGAGGCCGGTGACCTTTGACCTTGGGTCTGCAGAGTGGGCCAAAGTGGCGGAGGACATATGTGCCAACCTGAGCTGCGGGGCAGTGTATGAGCTCCGACAAAATGGCACAGCTACTTTAAACTACTCCAGCTCAACGTGTCTGAGCCAGTGTGTGTACAGAGACCTACTGGTGGAGAACTGTACAGTGCTCTCACACACGGACTGCTCTAACCAGACTGAAATAACCTGTGGTAAGACCCTCATTACAAAGCTTATCCTTGGATCGGCATAATTGATATTGAGCAAGAGTAATAGCTACCGTTGTTGATAAGCAACCACAAACACGTTGTTGCAGTAACGCCTGCAAAATTGCATGCAATGGAACGCCATCGTATGGGTTGTCTCGAGTGTTTTGTGGCCACTTTGCAACAAGTTCCTCCCTACAGCACACTTCCATTTTCAAGCTGCTTTTTAATGACCCTAAGTGAGGCCCACCTTCTATCGAGGTTAACTGATGATCTATGAACTGATTGGTTGATCTGTCCATTCCTCAGGGCACCAGGCCGTGCGATTGGCTGGAGGCAAACACCACTGTGAGGGACGGGTGGAGTTGTGGAGACAGGAAAAATGGGGAACGGTGTGTGACGATAGTTGGGAACCTGAGCGATGGGGGTGTGGTCTGTGCTCAATTGGGCTGTGGCTCTGCCCTAAATGTGAGCGGGCAGGGCGGGTCCTTTGGAGCTGGTGTTGGTCAGGTTCTATTAGATGAGGTGAACTGTGGGGGGAGCGAGAGGAACCTATGGGAGTGTCCCTCCCTGGGGACAGCCAATGACTGTGGACACAAAGAGGACGCTGCAGTGGTTTGTTCAGGTAAGCCTGCAGCTATAATATTATCATTGTCAGTTACTGTATTCACAATCATGTCATTAAAAACATTTTAAACGTGAATGGAATCTAAGTCAATGTCATGCCCACTCTTTAAAATAGCTATGCTATATCATAGTGTTTGTACATTCTCCTTAGATTCGTTTGAATATGGATAGTGCAGTAATAACATGTAAAACACATTACCATGATTGAACATCCGGTGTCTTGGTGGCGAACCAATTCCCGCTGATTTCTAGCACGCTAAACGCTGTTGACAATCAGGGTTCTGATGATTGCGAGTCAAGAATGATTTGGCTCGTGACCTTATCAGTGTGTCTGAATGGATAGCACTCAGTGTCTCAGTCACACTCAGCACTGATACTGACGAACAAGCTTCAAATCCTCCTACAGTAATGCAGAGATCAGGAGACGTGAGAGAGGTCATAAGCCAAAAAGAGACCGCTGCTTTGCATTCTAATTTTGTTATTTTCATTAACGAAAAAAAAGAAACACACAGAGGCAGCACAAAAACACATAGGCCTAAGTAATGCATGTCACTAAGAAAGTAGACAAACCACGTCAATACCTCGTCGCAACAGCACTGTCTGAGGAAGACCCTCAATGAAAGATGTTCAACCTGGGAGCCAAGTTCCTTGGTGAGAACACATCCAAACTGCCTTGACTTCAACATAACAACAGTTGTTCGGCACTTCCATGGGTTTTGAATCTTGCATCTAAATGAACAATTTTTGCTAAATTTATATTGTGTGTTTTAGTGTGTCTAAAACTCCACTTATGTCAAGGCCATGGCTTGTTGACCATGTTTCCGATCCATTTCAAACACTTCAAAAAATAGTTCATTATTTAGGCCTACTCAAAAGGCTACATCCATCAATTTTTCAAGAGAAAACGCACACATTCCTGGCAGTAATTGCCAAATGACTGACTGAAATGTCAAACTTTTGAATAAGAGTCAGATATTGGTTCAATAGATCATTAGATACACAGATGGACAAACACAACTCCTCTTGGATTTACCATTTTTGAGGAAATGTTTTTTAAACAAACCTTTTCCCCATCTTTCAGTGTGTGTCTTGAACACTCAGGAGAAGTAATCCATGAATCTGTTATACCTTACAGTTTTCTAACACCTCTAGGCTTTTTCCATTTCCCTGACAGGAATTCCATCTCAGTCAGGCAACGAGACGGCAGAACAGAACACCCAGACTTCAACCGAAGGTACAGTTATATGCTGACACACATGACCCTCCATCTGTATAATAATACACCAAGTGTCTGCTCTGCTCATATGAAAATGTCAAGAAGAATCTGTTATCTAGTCTGTACTCTGCACTATGATTTGTTCTTGTTTCCAGCAGGCTCAGTTCTACTAGTCACCAGTGCAGAGAGCTGGTCCTCTCCTCCCACAGCTGCTGTCTGGGGCTGCATCGCATTGTCTATAGCCCTCCTCCTCACAATCATCTCCAATGCTTTACTCTTCCTGTCTTACAGGAGGAGAGCTGGTGAGTCATCGTTTTGTTCTCTCTTTTTCTTTCTCTTTCATTGCCTCAGACTCAACTGTCACTCTCCCCATTTGTTCACACAAACAACAACAACAAACATGCTATCATCAATGAGCAGTAATTAACACTGAGAAACTGCTTTGTCTGAAGGGTTTTACATATTCTTCTCAATGGTTTGCCAATTATGATAATACCACAACACAATGCAATGCGATTCAATATAGTACACAAAGGAAGTCACCAAACTGGAACAGTATGCATACCATTGGGTTGGTTGATTGCTCATTAAGAGAATCCCATCACCAGTGTTGTTTTCACACTGACTTAAAAAAACAGCATATATTATTTCACAGGGATGATAATGCTTTGAATATGTGCCAAATGTGACAGTGGTCTAATTAAAATATTTAATTGGTTTTGAGATGTATTGTCCTTATTCCTTATAAAAGACAACAAAGGCCAACAAACCTATTATCCTAGCGTCGGTACATAGAAGTTTCAAAGGCAAAACTCTATGTACAGTTGAAGTCGGAAGTTTACATACACCTTAGCCAAATACATTTCAACTCAGTTTTTCCACAATTCCTGACATTTAATCCTAGTAAAAGTTCCCTGTCTTAGGTCAGTTAGGATCACCACTTTATTTTAAGAATGTGAAATGTCAGAATAATAGTAGAGAGAATTATTTATTTAAGCTTTTATTTCCTTCATCACATTCCCAGTGGGTCAGACGTTTACATACACTCAACTAGTATTAGGTAGCATTGCCTTTAAATGGTTTAACTTGAGTCAAACGTTTCGGGTAGCCTTTCACAAGCTTCCCACAATAAGTTGGGTGAATTTTGGCCCATTCCTCCTGACTGAGCTGGTGTAACTGAGTCAGGTTTGTAGGCCTCCTTGCTCGCACATGCTTTTTCAGTCCTGCCCACAAAGTTTCTATAGGATTGAGGTCAGGGCTTTGTGATGGCCACTCCAATACCTTGACTTTGTTGTCCTTAAGCCATTTTACCACAACTTTGGAAGTATGCTTGGGGTCCTTGTCCATTTGGAAGACCCATTTGCGACCAAGCTTTAACTTCCTGACTGATGTCTTGAGATGCTCCCGAGTGGCGCAGTGGTCTAAGGCACTGCATCGCAGTGCTAGCTGTGCCACTAGAGATCCTGGTTCGAATCCAGGCTCTGCTGTAGCCGGCCGCAACCGGGAGACCAATGGGGCGGCGCACAATTGGCCCAGCGTCGTCCAGGGTAGGGGAGGGAATGGCCGGCAGGGAGGTAGCTCAGTTGGTAGAGCATGGTGTTTGCAACGCCAGGGTTTTGGGTTCGATTCCCATGGGGGCCAGTATGAAAATAAAAAAGAATAATGTATGCACTAACTGTAAGTCGCTCTGGATAAGAGCGTCTGCTAAAAATGACGTTAAATGTTGCTTCAATATATCCACAGAAATTTCCTTCCTCATGATGCCATCTATTTTGTGAAGTGCACTAGTCCCTCCTGCAGCAAAGCACCCCCACAGCATGATGCTGCCTCCCCTGTGCTTCATGGATGGGATGGTGTTCTTCGGCTTGCAAGCCATCCCCTTTTTCCTCCAAACGTAACGATGGTCATTATGGCCAAACAGTTCTATTTTTGTTTTATCAGACCAGAGGACATTTCTCCAAAAAGTACGATCTTTGTCCCCATGTGCAGTTACAAACCGTAGTCTGTCTTTTTTAATGGCGGTTTTGGAGCAGTGGCTTCTTCCTTGCTGAGCGGCCTTTCAGGTTATGTCGATATAGGACTAGTTTTACTGTGGATATAGATACTTTTGTACCTGTTTCCTCCAGCATCTTCACAAGGTCCTTTGCTGTGTTTCTGGGATTGATTTGTACTTTTCGCACCAAAGTACGTTCATCTCTAGGAGACAGAACGCGTCTCCTTCCTGAGTGGTATGACGGCTGCGTGGTCCCATGGTGTTTATACTTGCGTACTATTGTTTGTACAGATGAACGTGGTACCTTCAGGCATTTGGAAATTGCTCCCAAGGATGAACTAGACTTGTGTAGGTCTACAATTTTTTTTCTGAGGTCTTGGCTGATTTCTTTTGATTTTCCCATGATGTCAAGCAAAGAGGCATTGAGTTTGAAGGTAGGCCTTGAAATACATCCACAGGTACACCTCCAATTGACTCAAATGATGTCAATTAGCCTATCAGAAGCTTCTAAAGACATGACATCATTTTCTGGAATTTTCCAAACTGTTTAAAGGCACAGTCAACTTAGTGTATGTAAACTTCTGACCCACTGGAATTGTGATACAGTGAAATATAAGTGAAATAATCTTTCTGTAAACAATTGTTGGAAAAATGACTTGTGTCATGCACAAAGTAGATGTCCTAACCGACTTGCCAAAACTATAGTTTGTTAACAAGAAATTTGTGTTGTGGTTGAAAAACAAGTTTTAATGACTCCAACCTAAGTGTATGTAAACTTCCGACTTCAACTGTACTTTCCCTTCATTACTAGCACTTCTGGTTCACCAAAGGCAAGATGGCCACCTGCTGTCCACCCAGTCTCAACACACTGACCAAGGGGAGAGAGTCAACCTTCTCACAGTCACCACGGACACAGCTGATTACAGTGAGTTCCTACTGATGCACTTGTCCTCTTTGTGCCCATTAGGTACTTGCAATTTTAGGAAATGTCTTATTAGTTCAAGTGTCCCATTTGTCAGAATACATTTTCTCTGTGGCCTTTCATGCAGCTCCACAGTACCTTTCCCAACGGCCCTCTCAGAATGACACTGACACCGCGTGTGACTCTGACTATGAAAACTATGACTTCAGTGACCAACCCTCTGTTGCCATGGCTACTGCACTTGGTCAGTTCATCTTCATAGTTTTGGATAAATAGTACAATTGTAAAATAAAAAAGATGGGAAGTGACACGTGGCTATTAAGGGAGAAAGTGGTCCAAGACTTGCTCGCAGTGCCAACCAAATGGTCTTTTACGTTTTCATTAGTCAGGGTCCTTGACAATGGAGTAAGCACAAGCAGAGAGCCATGGGAAACCACGCAGACAGCAGAGACCTCTGACACTCCTGAGAAATATAATATTGTTGCTGAGACAATCAACGGCATTGAGAGAAATAACCCTGCCATCCAAAGCCGTAAGTTACTGTTGGGTTGGGTGACCCAGATTTTTACCATTATCATATTGTGTCCATGTCTGACATGTTTCTTCTTAGTCTTAAAAGGACATAATGTCCTCCTAAAATCTGAGACTTTACTACAACCTTTTGGAGAATAAGGAATCAGAAAAGTTATAGTTTGCTAAAACTTGCCATGGTGACAGAAAAGTTGAATAAGAGCCCTATTGTAACATACTAACAACCATTTGTATGTCCAGTGCATTCACTGTTGTCATCCAGCACGTCTTCTGGGGAATGCTATGAGAACATTGAGACACTGGAGAAGGAGCTGTTGGGCTCAGGTCAGTCTAAAATGCTGGAACAAATAAACAAAACAACATTCTTGTAGTCCAAAAATGCATTTGTGGAGTCAGTCAGTGCATTTATGAAATCCATTCTCATTAATCAATGATAACATAGTAACTGTATGGAATGCTAACCACCCAGGTCCAGATTTGAGAGAAGCTGCCCTCACAGACTTGATCTGTAGAAGAGAGCCATCCTTGGGATCGAGTAGTAGTACATCATCTGGGGAATCCTACGAGAACGTGGGGATGGCTGTCGAACAGCATCTACAGTCAGGTCCGTTCCAAGTCAATATTACGTGAACAACAACAACACCTAATGAATCTGGCTGTGTCTAAGCACAGAACATAGACACAACAGCAAAGGCTTTTTGCACTACAGAACAGTACATGAAAGAACTGTCTAGAAAGTTTCTGGGAGAAAATATGTAGATTCGTAATTACTTCACTGGGAGCACATTTTCTCATTTTCTCCTCAGAGAACACCTATACACCTTCCGCTGTGCAATCAACCAGTACACACCAGGATCAGCAACAGCCTGCGACCAGTAGCTGCCACCTACTGAACAATCAAAATCAAGGTACCTGACACATTTCTGATGAGTCTGTGCATGTGTGATTCATGTAATGTTCCATGCCGATACTAATTCTCAGTCTCCTTGCTGGTGTCATATTGTGTTTGAAAATCTGCCAAATTAATTTGATGACCACCGGTGTAATCCCTGAAAGAAACAGAACAAATCATATTCAAAGAACTAAGGTAGTCTGACAGATGAGGCCATTGGGTATGGAGCATAAACCATCTGTGAGGATTTAAATTGTACTTAATTACTTTAGTTTTCGACAGATTTACTATCACAGTGAATAAAGGAAAGGGTAGTATGTCTGGCAGGCACATGCTTGAATCCAACAGAGGGAGGGAGAGAGAGCGGAAGAGAGAGACTGTCCTCATTCAGATGGAGGAAATTGCCCGGCTCTGTTATTCGCTTTAATCTACCTTTAAGCTATGGAGAGCTACACCTCAGAATGACAGAGTCAATTAGATTAGAGACACTAATACCCTTTACAGACAGACTTTACGGCATGTTGCCTATAGTTTTTACCCCATTCTTGCCGTGATAAGCCTTTTATATCTCCCGTGCACATGCCAGCAAATTTAGGAGTGGGAGTAGATGTGGGTAGATGTCTATTTTAATAAATCCATTAAATACAGTGCATTATGAAAGTATTCAGACCCCTTCACTTTTCCCACATTTTGTTACGTTACAGCCTTATTCTAAAAAAAAAATATTTTTTTATCATCCTCATGAATCTACACACAATACCCCATAATGACAAAGCGAAAACAGGTTTTAGACGTTTTTGCAAATGTATTAAAAATAAAAAACAGAAATACCTGATTTACATAAGTATACAGACCCTTTGCTATGAGACACGAAATTGAGCTCAGGTGCATCCTGTTTCCATTGATCAACCTTGAGATGTTTCTACAACTTGTTTGGAGTCCACCTGTGGTAAATTCAATTGATTGGACATGATTTGGAAAGGCACACACCTGTCTATATAAGGTCCCACAGTTGACAGTGCATGGCAGAGCAAAAACCAAGCCAGGAGGTAGAATGAATTGTCCGTAGAGCTCCGAGACAGGATTGTGTCGAGGCACAGATCTGGGGAAGGGTACCAAACAATTTCTGCAGCATTGAAGGTCCCCAAGAACACAGTGGCCTCCATCATTCTTAAATGGAAGAAGTTTTGAACCACCAAGACTTTTCCTAGAGCTGGCCGTCCGGCCAAACTGAGCAATCGGTGGAGGGCCTTGGTCAGGGAGGTGGCCAAGAACCTGATGGTCACTCTGACAGAGCTCCAGAATTCCTCTGTGGAGATGGGAGAAGCTTCCAGAAGGACAACCATCTCTGCAGCACTCCACCAATCAGGCCTTTATGGTAGAGTGGCCAGACGGAAGCCACTCCTCAGTAAAAGGTACGACATCCTGCTTGGAGTTTGCCAAAAGGCACCTAAAGGACTCTCAGACCATGAGAAACAAGATTCTCCGGTATGACGAAAGCAAGACTGAACTCTTTAACCTGAATGCCAAGCATCACATCTGGAGGAAACTTGGCACCATTCCTACGGTGAAGCATGGTGGTGGCAGAATCATGCTGTGGAGATGTTTTTCAGCAGCAGGGAGACTAGTCAGGATCAAGAGAAAGATGAACGGAGCAAAGTACAGAGAGATCCTTGATGAAAACCTGCTCCAGAGTACTCAGGACCTCAGACTGGGGCGAAGGTTCACCTTCCAACAGGACAACAACTCTAAGCAATCAGCCAAGACAATGAAGGAATGGCTTCGGGACAAGTCTCTGAATGTCTTTGAGTGGCCCAGCCAGAGCCCGGACTTGAACCCGATCTAACATCTATGGAGAGACCTGAAAATAGCTGTGCAGAGACATTCCCCATCCAACCTGACAGAGCTTGAGAGGATCTGCAGAGAAGAATGGGAGAAACTCCCCAAATACAGGTGTGCCAAGCTTGTAGCGTCATACCCAAGAAGACTCAAGGCTGTAATCGCTGCCAAAGGTGCTTCAACAAAATACTGAGTAAAAGGGTCTGAATATTTATGTAAATGTGATATTTCAGGTGTTGATTTTTTTTATAAATGTGCAAAAAAAACAAAAAAAAGGTTTTTGCTTTGTCATTATTGGGTATTGTGTGTAGATCAATGAGGGGGGAAAAACTATTTAATCAATTTTAGAATAAGGCTGTAACGTAACAAAATGTGGAAAAAGTCAAGGGGTCTGAATACTTTCCGAATGCACTGTATACACCATCACAAAGAAATCCATTATTAATTAGTTTTTTGGCAGGTCCTAATAAACATTATAGGACTAATACAATTTATTTTCAAAATAATAGAATGGCATATTTTGAGTTTAATTATGTTACTGGTCTGTGCAGCCTATAGGCCATGCACATAAAATCTACTTATTTTGTTCATTAAACAGACAAGACACACTTAGGCTACCCTGATCACAGTCAACACACATATATGTTGTAGTAGGCTAAGAATATAATGAATTATAACAGAATAAAATAAATCATTCTTCCCACACAACTTGCGTCACGGCAACGTGTGGAACTGCTGTTATATAAAAAGTGATTTTGAAACAGAGCCCAAGGCAATCCACGTTTCATCTCTTTCTACCCTCACTCCGCTTTGTTAGGGAGCAGGCGTAGACCATAATAATAGACCTATGCTTGATTTAGGCTACATTATTGCATGCTAAATGTTTCTAATCAGTGATGGATGAGCAAACAAATAGATGAGTTACCCCCTCTACTTATTTGCCCAGCCAGAGAATTAACCAAATATACAGATTCAGTGAAACAAAATCACATTGATTGACAAGTCATAGGCTTTTGGTTGGGAGTACGCCTAGGCTGGTAAGCGACTGAGTGAAGAGGGGTATTTTTCTCCGCTCATACAGGAGTAATTAAGGCCTAGTTCACTAATCATAATTGTTTTTGTTAATTAGAAGGGTTTATTTATTTATTATTTAATTTATTAGGGGTGCTGCAGCACCCTCAGCACTCCTATTTCCTGTGGCTATGCCGTTAATGCAAAGGGATGATTAAAATGTTCAAACATTGATGTATTAGCGTTAAGGGTCGGTTCCCTTGACAAAGATTAAGCCTAGTCCTTGACATTAAGGCATGTTCAACGGCGGCACCAAGTACCTGTATTCCCCTAAATACTATCCCAGGTTTTATACTATCCCAGGTATTCCTTAAAGAGGTAGGGTTTCAAGTGTCTCCGGAAGGTGGTCAGTGACTCCGCTGTCCTGGCGTCATGAGGGAGCTTGTTCCACCATTGGGGTGCCAGAGCAGCGAACAGTTTTGACTGGGCTGAGCGGGAACTGTGCTTCCGCAAAATGGATGAAATACAAAATAAAAAAAAACACACACTACCCCAAAATGACAAAAGTGAAAACATGCTTTTAGAAATGTTAGCACATTTTTTGAAAATGAAATACAGAAATATCTATTTAAATAAGTATTCACACCCTGAGTTAATTCATGTTAGAATCATATTTTGCAGTGATTACAGCTGTGAGTTTTTCTGGATTGTACAATATTTGCACATTATACTTTTTAAAATTCTTCAAGCTCTGTCAAGTGGTTGTTGATCATTGCTACACAGCCATTTCCAAGTCTTGCCATAGATTTTCAAGCCCATTTAAGTCAAAACTGTAACTAGGCCAGTGTATATTTGGCCTTGTGTTTTAGGTTATTGTCCTGCTGAGAGGTGAATTTGTCTCCCTGTGTCTATTGAAAAGCAGACTGAACCAGGTTTTCCTCTAGGATTTTGTCTGTGCTTAGCTCTATTCTGTTTATTTTTATCCTAAAAAAAACTCTCTAGTCCTTGCCGATGACAAGCATACCCTTAACATGATGCAGCCACCACCATACTTGAAAATATGAAAAGTGGTACTCAGTGATGTGTTGTGATTTGCCCCAAACATAACACTTTGTATTTAGGACATAAGGTTCATTTCTTTGTCACATTTTTTGCAGTTTTACTTTAGTGCCTTATTGCAAACAGGATGCATGTTTTGGAATATTTTTTATTCTGTACAAGTTTCCTTTTTTCCCATTTAGGTTAGTATTGTGGAGTGTTGTTGATCCATCCTCAGTTTTCTCCCATCACAGTCATTAAACTCTGTAACTGTTTTAAAGTTACCATTGGCCTCATGGTGAAATCCCTTACCGGTTTCCTTCCTCACCGGCAACTGAGTTAGGAAGGATGCCTGTATCTTTGTAATGACAGGGTATATTGATACACCATCCAAAGTGTAATGAATAACTTCATTCTCAAAGGGATATTCCATGTGTGCTTTTTTATTTTTACCCCATCTACCAATAGGTGTCCTTCTTTGCGAGGCAATGGAAAACCTCCAATGTCTATGGTTGAATCCGTTTGAAATTCACTACTTGACTGAGGGACCTTACAGATAATTGTACGTGTGGGGTACAGAGATGAGGTAGTCATTCAAAAATCATTTTAAACACTATTATTGCACACAGAGTAAGTCCATGCAACTTATTAAGCACATTTTTACTCCTGAACTTATTTAGGCTTGCCATAACAAAGATTAAATACCTATTGACTCACGACATTTCCGCTTTTCATTTTTAATGAATTTGTTAAAATGTCTACAAACATAATTCCACTTTGACATTATGGGGTATTGTGTGTAGGCCAGTGACACATCATCTCAATTTAATCACTTTTAAATTCAGGCTGTGTAACAACAAAATATGGAAAAAGTCGAGGGGTGTGAATACTTTCTGAAGGCATTGTAGATGCAATTGCTGAAAACATGTAGCCTATTGTGGATGTATGTAAATGGTAATGTGAGTTTTTTATACAGATGATTCAAGCAGCTCATCTTCCTCTGCGCTTTATGAGAACATAGAAGTCCAAGATGAAGAGGGGATTGGTGCTCTTACCGTGAAGGAAGACCCGGACCAGTCTCTTTCCGATAGCGACTACGATGACATAACAAATTACTAGTATTTCATCAAACATAGCAGTGAATTGAGAACTATAAAACGGAGTCATTTACATTTTAGCAGATGCTATTATCCAGAACAACATACAAGAGCAATTAAGGTTAATTGCCTTGCTCAAGGGCACAGACAGATTTCTTTTCACCTAGTTAGCTACTGCCCCAATGGTCTTAAACCCCTTTGCTTCTCCACTGCACAGAATGACCAGCATTGTGAACAAACAACACTGTCACTGATATTGATTAATAAGGTGACCTGAGCCACACAACGCACAGTCAATGCACATCAAACTTTTTAAACTTGAAATTCAATTGTGTTAATATTATCAAGGAGAAAAAGCAACACATTTGCATGCAACATTTATTCAACTATGACTTGATGTGAATAGCCTAGTGCAGGGGTGTCAAACGTCCGGCCCGCGGGCCGGATCAGGCCCGCAAACGGGTTTAATCCGGCCCGCGAGATGATTTTGAAAAATAAAAATAAAAATAAAAAATAATAATAATAATAATTTTGTAAAGTATAAAAATGCGCTGCAATTTTTCAATAAAATAAACTGCTGTTCCAATTGCGTCCATTGGATGGCGCAATAGCAATTGTGTTAAGCAAGCAAACTGTTTATACCGGGGCAGAGCAAGTAGGTCAAGCACGTGCAGCCAATGAGCTACTTTGTTTTGCCCGCGATATTTATTACGGCTTCTACTTTTAACATTATGTTCTTTGGCACCCTCATTGCCCCAATATGTCTCTGTCAAAAAAGAGAAAAGTGGACGCAGAGTGCAGAGTGTTCCAAGAAAAATTGTCATCCTATTTATTCACGGAATTGAATGGGAAAGCTGTATGTTTGGTGTGTTCAGAGCATGTTGCAGTGCTGAAAGAATATAACCTTCGTCGCCACTATGTGAGTCTTCATGCCGACAAATATGACAACTTTCAAGGACAGCGGAGATGAGAGAAGGTGAATGAACTGTTGGCAGGTCTGAAGAAACAGCAGTCTGTTTTTACTCACAGCCGAGACATCAGTGACACTGCAGTGAAAGCTAGCTACCTCATTGCTAATGAAATCGCAGTGGCTTCAAAACCATTTAGTGAGGGTGAATTTGTAAAAACATGCATGATGAAGGCAGCGGAGATTGTGTGCCCTGAAAAGCGGCAGGCTTTTGCAAATATCAGCCTGACAAGAAACACAGTTGCAGACAGGATTTCCGATCTTTCAGTGGATTTGGACAGCCAGTTGAAGCAAAAAGTAAAGTCATTTATTGCGTTTTCGGTTGCAATTGATGAAAGCACGGACATTACAGATGTTGCACAACTGGCCATTTTCATCCGCGGAGTTGATGACACATTGACCGTCACCGAGGAGTTCGTGGAGTTGGTGCCGATGACAGATACAACGACAGCAGCTGATATTTTTACCGCACTCGTCGGCGCGCTGTGGACTGAGTGGACTGGTCCCGCGCTGTCAGCCTGGCTACAGATGGTGCGCCCTCAATGATCAGGAAAAAAGCAGGCGTTGTGACAAAGTTCAGAGAGAAAGTGCAATCTGCAAATGGAGGACGTGATTTTTTGACTTTTCACTGTATTTTGCACCAGGAGGCTTTGTGTTGCAAGTCATTAAAGATGGATAACGTCATGAAGGTGGTCATCCAAACTGTTAATTTAATCCGATCCAGAAGCCTGAATCACCGTCAGTTTGACAGCCTTCTCAGAGAGAAAGACCACATCTATGGCCTGCCATACCACACTGAGGTAAGATGGTTAAGCCGAGGTGCTGTGCTGAGGCGTTTCTTTGATTTACGAGAAGAAATTGAACAGTTCATGGAAGAAAAGGGCAAACCAGTGTTAGAATTTCATTCCGCAGAATGGATGCAGGACCTTGCATTTATGGTGGATGTTACAGAGCACCTGAATAACTTGAACAAACAGCTGCAAGGGCGCAACAAAGTTGTCACGCAGTATTATGACAGCATACGTTCTTTCAAGTTGAAATTGTCATTGTGGGAGACGCAACTTGCCGGTGGTGATGCAGCTCACTTCCCCTGTCTGAAAAATGTGTGCGCAACCCAACATGTGGCAGACATGAAGCTATTCTTGACTCTGTGGTTCTTGCACTTGTTTGGGGAACAGGATTTCATTATTTTTATCTACATTTCTGCCTGAGAAACGACACCCTGATATAGTTCTGTGATCTGTGAAACAGTTCTGTTAATCACTGAGGCATTGTGTGTTTGTGTGTTCTTTGTCCTCAGAACTTTCAAATAACTTGAGGTGTTTTATGATTAATAGTGATGTTGTGCTTTTGGACACTGTCCTCAGGCTCCAGCTTTATGTTTATATATGTTTTTATGTTGATGTGCTATTGTTTTTAATTGATTTTATTTTATTTGTATATTTAACCTATTCTTGACTCTGTGGTTCTTGCACTTGTTTGGGGAACAGGATTTCATTATTTTTATCTACATTTCTGCCTGAGAAATGACACCCTGATATAGTTCTGTGATCTGTGAAACAGTTCTGTTAATCACTGAGGCATTGTGTGTTTGTGTGTTCTTTTTCTTTAGAATTTTCAAATAAACTTGACGTGTTTTATGATTAATAGTGATGTTGTGCTTGTACTATTTTGGACACACTGTCCTCAGGCTCCAGCTTTATGTTGTATGTTGATCGTATTAAAACAAAGAAAACAATCTGAAGTTGTTGTTTTTAAGTTATATATACACCATGATTTTTCCGGTCCGGCCCACTTGGGAATAGATTTTCCTCCATGTGGCCCCTGAGCTAAAATGAGTTTGACACCCCTGGCCTAGTGTATACACGCATATGCAGATGTTATGTACATAATATGAGCACATGTTTTACAATCCAAAATATCTACTTGATATCTATATCTACTCACTGACTGGGTTATCACAACAAATCCCACGAATGTCTTTGGAAGTTGGTTCCCTAATGATGAATGAATTAGTAGATATTTAATAAACTATCCACAGACTACTTCATTTGATTATGATTCATTTATAAAGTATCAACTACTAGATTGTCAGAGTGAAGTAATGCTTTTATGGTTCATGTTATGTCTAAATGTGTAGCACAGATGCAACAGGAAAGATTTGCGTCATTTAACTTCCCACTAACCTCACCTTCATATTATACACAATACATGAATGGTAAGATCATAAATCCCTTAAAACAGAGAATGCATTTTACTCAAAGGGTCAGAAGAGGAAATAAACAAAGGACACAGGAGATAGAAACTAAAAGGAGGAAAGGCTACAGAAAAGCATGTAACAGCATTGTATATGAAATACTACCAGATAATGGAATGACTTCATTACTATTTCTTTTTAGTTTTACATAAAATACTCATTCAATTTAGCCTCGTCTTTTCTAAGTACCGTTTTCACACAAGTATGGTCTGGCATATACCTGCTCTTAAAACTGAGCTAGCTAAAATCACATCTCTAAAGATAGCAGAAGACCTACCTTGTTAATTTACCTTTAAACCCAGAACACACTAAATGTAACGCATAGAAAGACCTACATAATTCTCAAGGCAGAAAAATGTGTTGGGATGTCTATAACAAGTAACTGCAAAGTGGTGTGTGTGTGTGTGTGATAGAGAGAAGGCTGTCACACATCATGCTTCCCACAGACCCACTTGAGCTGGTGCTGTTCTCTCAGGTCGGTGAGGTCTCGAGCAGAGTGCCAGCTACACTGGCAGGCATACGCTCGTGCCCCTTTCCTTCTCCTCAGCTTGGCCCGCAGCTTCTGACAGTCTGGCATGTTGTTCCTGCAGAGATACAAAGAGACAAGGCTGGTTAGCTGAGCAATGAGCAGTAGGTGAATATCTCTCACAGAATAATATTGGTATGTAGAGTTATAGATAGGATAAGTAGTACTAAATTCACAAAGTACTTGACACTTAAGTTGGTCATGTGCATGGAACAAAACCAGCCTCCAAGAACCCCTGAAAGATTGTGGAATGATTGGCAACATCACAAATATTCCAGAGTTAACCTGTAATGTACAGCTGAAGGAATTAATCTGTGTGGGAGGACAAAGACAAAGTATACAAGACACAATGGACATTGAAGTTCGATGGTAAGCATGTCCATCCTAAAGCTGTATGTTAATTTCAGCATCATTTGCACAATATGTTACATTGCATTTAACAAGCGCAATGTAATGATAAATTAATCCCCATGTCCTGTAGAGGAGCCCTGGGTCGTCAGCAAGTTAGTAAAACCACTATCTTCCAGCACAAAGCCTGAAATCACCAAGTGTCCACCTGAACAGATAATTGGTTCACTGCTGTGATAGTACCGACAGCAAAACCCACCAGCTTGGAACATCACCCACTATCACCCACTGCACATGCTCTAGGAAGACAACAACGTGGTAGGGTCCATATGAGTACTCCCTGCTCGCTGTTCTTGCACTGGATTTTCACTAGTTCTACTACCTCCATTTTGTCAACACAAAAGTCTGGATTCAACAAAGCTGTGCTGCTGCGATCCTACACTATGAAAAAAATTACATTAAAAGCACTAGCTACAGAATATTTTAGAATGAAAGGAAGCCTGTTCACAAAGCATACGCTGCTCCCGAGTGCCATAATTTACCTGCACCAAAATACCAACAACATTGTGGCTGCAATAGCCTTTGTTGTTTTTCTATTTGAAAATGTTTTTCTCTCATTTGAGCACAGCCCTTCTGTCTATCGTCTTTCTTAGTTTTCATTTCAAGTCGACTCTCACCAGTAGTATCAAATTAGTGTAGCCTAGAATAATGTAATTCCTGTCTTGGTGTTAATACCCACGCCTGCCTACTTACAGCTCTACTGCTATGACGTCTTCCACTTCACTGCATTAACTTAGCTTAAGTGTCAGTCTGTGTCATCATGGGCACGCTCTCTGTCAGTGAACCAACACAATATTGAACCAGAGAGGCACCCAAGGTGGCATTACTGTGTTGTTTGACTGCCTTTCTACCTTTCTAATGTCTGTCTCCATCCACTACTACCAGTTGTCCTATGAAAATCCTATCTGCCATGCACCGATCTCAGAGCATGGTTTTAAAAAAGTCTTAAATTAAACCACTGTGTATTCATACTCACTTTGGCAAAAAGTTACCCGTTTCTCTGAAAGGGTGGATATCAATCAAGGTTAAAGTCATAATCCCCACTTAAAAGGCCTTTTACATTAAGAATCAAATGAAGATTATTCCAGTTTATTTTCACAAAGTTCTAAAATAAAAGGTATACACTGCCCTCTTCTGTTCAAATCTGAGACATTTGGGATTTGTGGTTTTCTGTAACAACTTCAAACTTGTTTCAAGATAATAACAATATTTAAATTGTTACCCCATAAAGATACATCAGGCCCAATGAGAGGAGGCTCACCTTAAGAAGAGGTAATCACAAGAGGGGTCCCATTCATGATCGTCAAACATGGCCACCCGAAAGTCACAGGAGATACATCTCAGCTGGTCACATGACCTGTCAGCACAGGTTAAACAATGAGTCAAATTAAAATGTGATCCACGCTTGTGACCACGGCCCGCTGATGATTTATTTGCCACACTTACATATGTATGTATGTATGTATGTACAGTTGAAGTCATTAAAACTCGTTTTTCAACCACTCCACAAATTTCTTGTTAACAAACTATAGTTTTGGCAAGTCGGTTAGGACATCTACTTTGTGCATGACACAAGTGATCTAACAATTGTTTACAGATTATTTCACTTATAATTCACTGTATCACAATTCCAGTGGGTCAGAAGTTTACATACACTAAGTTGACTGTGCCTTTAAACAGCTTGGAAAATTCCAGAAAATGATGTCATGGCTTTAGAAGCTTCTGATAGGCTAATTGACATCATTTGAGTCAATTGGAGGTGTACCTGTGGATGTATTTCAAGGCCTACCTTCAAACTCAATGCCTCTTTGCTTGACATCATGGGAAAATCAAAAGAAATCAGCTAAAACCTCAGAAAAAATATGGTAGACCCCCACAAGTCTAGTTCATCATTGGGAGCAATTTCCAAATGCCTGAAGGTACCACGTTCATCTGTACAAACAATAGTACGCAAGTATAAACACCATGGGACCACGCAGCTGTCATACCGCTCAGGAAGGAGACGTGTTCTGTCTCCTTGAGATGAACGTACTTTGGTGCGAAGAGTGCAAATTAATCCCAGAACAACAGTAAAGGACCTTGTGAAGATGCTGGAGGAAATAGGTACAAAAGTATCTATATCCACAGTAAAACGAGTCCTATATTGACATAACCTGAAAGGCCGCTCAGCAAGGAAGAAGCAACTGCTCCAAAACAGCCACAAAAAAGCCAGACTACGGTTTGCAACTGCACATGGGGACAAAGATCTTACTTTTTGGAGAAATGTCCTCTGATCTGATGAAACAAAACTAGAACTGTTTGGCCATAATGACCATCGTTATGTTTGGAGGAAAAAGGGGGCTGCTTGCAAGCCGAAGAACACCATCCCAACGTGAAGCACGGGGGTGGCAGCATCATGCTGTGGAGGTGCTTTGCTGCAGGAGGGACTAGTGCACTTCACAAAATAGATGGCATCACGAGGAAGGAAAATTATGTGGATATATTGAAGCAACATCGCAAGACATCAGTCAGGAAGTTAAAGCTTGGTCGCAAATGGGTCTTCCAAATGGACAATGACCCCAAGCATACTTCCAAAGTTGTGGCAAAATGGCTTAAGGACAACAAAGTCAAGGTATTGGAGTGGCCATTACAAAGCCCTGACCTCAATCCTATAGAACATTTGTGGGCAGAACTGAAAAAGCATGTGCGAGCAAGGAGGCCTACAAACCTGACTCAGTTACACCAGCTCAGTCAGGAGGAATGGGCCAAAATTCACCCAACTTATTGTGGGAAGCTTGTGTAAGGCTACCCCAAACGTTTGACCCAAGTTAAACAATTTAAAGGCAATGCTACCAAATACTAGTTGAGTGTATGTAAACTTCTGACCCACTGGGAATGTGATGAAATAAATAAAAGCTGAAATAAATCATTCTCTCTACTATTATTTTGACATTTCACATTCTTAAAATAAAGTGGTGATCTTAACTGACCTAAAACAGGGAATTCTTACTAGGATTAAATGTCAGGAATTGTGAAAAACTGAGTTTAAATGTATTTGGCTAAGGTGTATGTAAACTTCCGACTTCAACTGTATATACACACACATACATATATATTTTATTGTTGAACATAAAATACCTAAAAAACACTAGCAAATCAGCTCCAAGGGATTTTAATTTTGGAAATCTGTTGCAAAGTATTCCCATGCATAATAGAGAGATATACAGTATGTGATCATACGCAAAGCAAGGTTTGAAATTAGTCTGTTTTAGTTCAGTATTATATCCGTTTGGGCTTCTTGTGGTCAATTTGCAGTTTACTAATTATGTCGTCGTCCCCCCCACCCCCACCATCCACTCAAGAAAAAAAATTGCCCCGCGGATTAATCTAGTTGATGATCGCTGCAATTCCATTTAACAGCACTTTTACCTTTGTGAAACAGCTGTTCCTACACCATTTGCAATGGAACTTCCACCAAGGTAAACAGGGCAGCACCTGCTCACATAAGAACAAATGGGGATGGAAAGAGAGCTTTTATCAAATACATGCTTTACCAAAGGCTCACTACTAGACTTTATGGCTTCCCATGAATTACCATTTTGGTCTGCCTAAGATAATGACAACTGTAAAACATACAGTAACATTGAAAGCATGCAACAGAGATATACAGATGTCTTATTAGATTTACTGAGTTTCAATAATAACGTAATATGAACACAATTGATTTTTGGAAGTATAACACTGACAGAATGATACAGCCAGATATTCTGATTCAACAGGCTGCAACACAAAATAACCCGTTGTCGGCAGGATTCGAACCTGCGCGGGAAGATCCCAATAGATTTCTAGTCTATCGCCTTAACCACTCGGCCACGACAACTACTTACGTTCACATTTACTCGGCCAGAAGAACTACCTACACACAAATGAACAAGTGTTGTTCTTCAAAGTTGAGTTGTTATCTAGCTTGCTAGCTACTTGATTGGCAAACTTACTTTCTTGTTGACTGTGGCAATGACTTCCTCTTCGTCGTTTTAGGAAGCTGTCCTGTCTGCAAATGTGTGAAGTTAAGCACATATGAGACTACCTAGGGGCCAGCCCTTTTGCAATGCAACGTTAGCTAATGCATTGGAGTCAGAAGGTCAAAGATGATAGCAACCTTCCCATTGGAAAAAGGCTAAAAACAATCCAACATAGCCTTGTATTTATCTCATTATAACTAACTAATACATCCGTGTGATATCCAGCCAGCTAACGTTAGCTAGCTACTGGACAGTTAGCTAAAAAACAGCATTCAACATTGTAAGGCGATGTAACGTTATTTACTCACGTTTAGCTCAAGAGAATCAAAGTCATCGTCAAGTAGGTCCTCAAGAAGGGCATCTATATCTTCGCTGTCAGTTTTTCTGGGTGTATCATCAGTGGTGCTGACGGTGTGAAGCGAGGAACAGTTTTAGCAAGCTAACGTTACCTAGCTAACTATTAACGGGTTCGCTAGCTAACGTTAGTTAACTACATGATTTAGCTAGCAAGCTTGGTGAAATAACAATGCAATTTGGGAAGGCTGGCGTTTGCAACTAATTAGCTAACGTTACATAACATCGTTAGTTACATTGCATAAGCTTCCACTGCGTCAATCATGGTCAACAACTTGGTTTGCTAACCTTGCTTGCTAACGTTAGTCCATTTCCACGTACTAGCTATCGTTAACGTTAGCCTGTTAACACTTGCATTTTACTACGCACCAGTGTTTTCTTTCTCTCCCAGTTTGCATTAAACATTTCCCAGCCGTCGATAAATCTGAAGGAGCTTGAAGTTGTGGCGTCAACGAAACATTGCGACAGAACTTTGTTTCAACCTCATCTAGCAATTCGTCCAAATCGTCCGCCATGGCTTCAGGGTACTGCTACTTATTGACTGTTGTCATGAACAGGAGTGATTGATTAACAGGCGTAACCTCATTTCAAGTAGGTAAAGATTGATACGTTGTAACTAGCGATACAACAACATATACTGGCTATCTGTGATACAATGTAACCTCCTGGGCATTCCAATCACAGGACAAAAATAATCCGTTGTCGGCAGGATTCGAACCTGCGCGGGAAGATCCCAATGGATTTCTAGTCCATCGCCTTAACCACTCGGCCACGACAACATCTGACATTATATACAGAAATCGGTAATATCCTACATCAATTGTATATAAAAAAAATATATATCTTAACTTTTGTTAGATATTATGATTCATCAGGCTGCAGCACAAAACAACCTGTTGTCGGAAGGATTCTAACCTGCGCGGGAAGATTTCAAGTCTAGCGCCTTAACCACTAGGCCAAGACAACTACGTCCTAATTCCACTTGAACGAGTACGGTTGTTTAAATTATTATCACGTTGGGTAGTTAGTTAAATAATTTGTTTCTTCATATTGACTGTGGCAACGACGCTTCTCAGAAATGTTACTTTATCAATGACCTAGAACAAACATTTGTGAATAAATGAATTCAACAGATAATAAAATAAGCAATATAAAATTAACATAGCATTATCAACAGATAATAAAATAAGCAATATAAAATTAACATAGCATTATAAAGAGAACATTGGTGCAAACCGTTAAAATACAGAAAGAGCAGAGGAAAACATTTTGTTCCCTGACCGGGAATCGAACCCGGGCCGCGGCGGTGAGAGCGCCGAATCCTAACCACTAGACCACCAGGGAGCAGTTGCATAGCACATATGCACGCTTCGAACTTATTTTAACACTACCTGCATGTGCCTACAATATTGTAAGCGAAAAGAAGGTAACATGGCTCATTCAAACAGCAACACATATTTCACCAAAATTATGATAAATGGCAACAGCTACTCAGCCAGGCAATCTTGTTTATTATTTGCATATCTAAAATTAATTATTGAAAAATTACCTGGACAAGTGAGGAGTTGAATTTATCCAAATGTATTGAGTATGAAGCAGTGCTTGACTTCGGCAGGAGCTCACCAGAACTGAGTACCGGCAATTTTCTACTGCTTGAGTTCCTGCACCTCATAAAACATTAGCTCAAAAGTATTGTACAGTTCCTGCACCCAAAATGAGTACCTTTGTCTATTTTAGTCGCAACAGATACTGACTGGTTTTCTGATCCACGCCCCTACCTTTTTTTAAAGGTACCTGTGACCAACAGATGCATGTCTGTATTCCCAGTCATGTGAAATCCATAGATTAGTGCCTAATGAATTTATTTCAATTGACTGATTTCCTTATATGAACTGTAACTCAATAAAATCTTTGAAACTGTTGCAATGTGCGTTTATATTTGTGTTCAGTGTATATTGCACAGCGAGGAGAAATTCAACAGTGGACATAGTCCCCCCCCCCCCAATCCTGCTGTTGTGAGCATGTAATAACCACAATGCAATGACATAACATGTAGCTAGTACAACAAAAAGGATAATCAATTCAAGTATTACAAAGTTCAGTAAACATAACTACCCCTGGCATAGCAAAAGTAAGTAGCTGCCACTGCCATTGACGTTGTTTTTTTCTGGTTATGTACTATTGGGCCTTTGTCTCAGCCAGATGTATGGTAGGCTACATTGATGCATTGAATAAGGCTACATAGATGCATTCAACAAAGGCATTTTTTTTCAAAGCCTGCACACCAAACCATTAATGTAATAGCAAGACTAAAAAAGTTATCTAACAAAAGTTTACAAATAACATGCAGACACTGCTTTAAACAGTTGAAACATGGTAGATTATGTGTGATTAACTTTTTACAGCAAAGGAAACCTATACTGGATACACCCACCTTAAAAAAGGCATTGCTGTGGTATATACCCCTGGCTGGTAAGGGTGACATTCATGCCAAAAAGCTTAACAAGAGCTTCTGATTGATGTATGCCTATCGGTAACGTTCAAATAAAATATCTTGAAATGCCTTTGAGTAGACCAAAGCTGTATTTATTTTACAATCTTAGTCCACACCCAGGGATCAATCACAACCAGGGGCTCACACCAGCCACAGCAAGATAATATTATATATTGCTGGCTATACCTTAATTACAATAGAACGCTATCACTGCATTCTTACAAAACACACCCTATTACTTTTTTGTCATACTTACCTCTCTTATTTTAGCCACCACTTACTAACTTAATAATTCTATAATGGGTGGAGAGCCGTGGTTTCTCTTTTATTTTACAGACTAAGCTCTCACTTTAACTTTCATTCTGTGTAAGTTTGTCATAATGGCCCTGATATTTTACATTTATCAGAAAGGGTGTAGGCTACTGTTTCTGTTTCATTTCTTTGAAAAGCCTACACATATTGGTTCTACAGACCCGGCCAGAGGGTTGTCTGCCTCCATCTGCTCTAAAGGTAAACTCTTCTCCTGGAAAGTAGACATGACTCTTAGGCTCCTTGCTCAGCTTAAAAAGTTCACTAGTCTTTCTCTGCCTTTCCTCATTCAAGTATCCAATGAGCCCAAACTAGCAGAACAGGCTCTCACACACAGACATGTTTTATGGAAGCCTGTCCTGACCAGTTTGGCCACAGAGTGTAGATCAACATTAAATCCTTCTTCTCAAGGTGTGCATCTAGAAGTTGTTCTTGTGGATTCTTCTTGCTCCTTTGTAGTAACATATTCATAAGGGTTAACTATGGTAAAGATTGTTTGTTGTTGTTGTAAATAACATAAAAAATGTCAAAGGAAAATGAAATACATTGAAACCATCACCATTGAATGAGAGAACAGTGGACAACTCACATAGCTGATGGTGAATATCAGCAATGCCGCCACAAGCCCCACAATGCAAAGAACTAGGATGGTTTTGCTTTCTTCTGATTGGTCTATGGACTTATTGTCAAGGCAACCTGCAAATGAAAAAAGAATACACAAATCCTTGAGCAGCACTGGAAACTTTAAAAGAGTATATATCAGCACAGAGGAATTTAAAACACCCACATGCAGTATACAGTTTGCTTACATACCAAAACAAGCACACAATGAGAGTAGAACACACACCTGTCACTGAGGACAATCTGCCCCTCCTGGTTCTGCTCTCCTACAGGTGCTGCCAGGAGACACTTATACCTCCCACTATCAACAGCCGTTACATTGGGCAGGAAGATATCGAAAGAATCATCAGCCAAAAGTTCCACTTCACGCTCCAGACCGGCGTACCATTGGGTGGTGCTGTTATGTGATAGCCTCTTCATCAATAGACCGGACTCCTTATTATAGGGCTCCTCACTGAGCTGGGAGAAGAGGGTGTGAGGTTACTTTATGCCCCTAACAGCTGGTCTGGGACCAGTGCTGCAGTTTCAATAATGAAGATTACAATGAGGACTGAGGACATCTCAGATCGTAAATCACTAGTGTGAGCCACTTAGGTACGGTGTGAGCAGCCAAAGATCTCCAGAAAAACAGCAAAAGGCAGATAGTCTAGTAGTCGAATCAAAGATATTCCATGGTTCAATTGCTCAAATAAATCCAGACAACATTTTGCTCATCAGCACAGCAGGAGACAAACCTGAGGTTAAATTGGCCGGGAACATAAAAGTTATGAGTTCTGCTGTCTTTAGATGGAGTAAAGAGTGGACGAAGATTGATATGATTAAGTGGCTAGACAAAGGCAGTCTACAATACTAGAAAAGTTCATTTCCTGAAGAAAATGTGGTGTGCTTGCTAGCTTGTTTTTAAAGTATTTATGGTTTTTAAATAGGTTATTGTAGTGGTATTGACTGCAGTAGTAATGGTAATAACTGATTATAGTTGAATAAGTAGGTAGCTGTAAAAATGTATTAATGGGTTAGCTGATTTATTGATTGATTGGATAGGATAGCCTGAACATGTGAAAGTTGGTTTGGTGTCTCTAGCTTGAACGGTTCAAGAGTTACTGTTGGTGAGTTATTTAGTGCTAATTTATGCAAACGTATATAGTTATAGTTGATTAACGTTTTTAAAAGTGTATAGTTAGGACAGCCTGAACATGAGAAAGTTGGTTTGGTGTCTCTAGCTTGAACAGTTCAAGAGATACTATTGTGAGTAATTTGTGCTAATTTATGCAAATGTGTATAGTTATAGTTGATAAACGTTTTTAAGAGTTTGAAGTTAGGATAGCCTGAACATGTGAAAGTTGGTTTGGTGTCTCTAGCTTGAACGGATCAAGAGTTACTGTTGGTGAGTTATTTTATGCAAATATATTTACATTTACAGTTGAAGTCGGAAGTTTACATACACCTTAGCCAAATATATTTAAACTCAGTTTTTCACAATTCCTGACATTTAATCCTAGTAAAAATTCCATGTCTTAGGTCAGTTAGGATCACCACTTTATTTTAAGAATGTGAAATGTCAGAATAATAGTAGAGAGAATAATTTATTTCAGCTTTTATTTCTTTCATCACATTCCCAGTGGGTCAGAAGTTTACATACACTCAATTAGTATTTGGTAGCATTGCCTTTAAATTGTTTAACTTGGGTCAAACGTTTCGGGTAGCCTTCCACAAGCTTCCCACAATAAATTGGGTGAATTTTGGCCCATTCCTCCTGACAGAGCTGGTGTAACTGAGTCAGGTTTATAGGCCTCCTTGCTCGCACACGCCTTTTCAGTTCTGCCCACACATTTTCTATAGGATTGAGGTCAGGGCTTTGTGATGGCCACTCCAATACCTTGACTTTGTTGTCCTTAAACCATTTTGCCTCAACTTTGGAAGTATGCTTGGGGTCATTGTCCATTTGGAAGACCCATTTGCGACCAAGCTTTAACTTCCTGACTGATGTCTTGAGATGTTGCTTCAATATATCCACATAATTTTCCTTCCTCATGATGCCATCTATTTTGTGAAGTGCACCAGTCCCTCCTGCAGCAAAGCACCCCCACAGCATGATGCTGCCACCCCCGTGCTTCACAGTTGGGATGGTGTTCTTCGGCTTGCAAGCTGCCGCCTTTTTCCTCCAAACATAACGATGGTCATTATGGCCAAACAGTTCTATTTTTGTTTCATCAGACCAGAGGACATTTCTCCAAAAAGTACGATCTTTGTCCCCATGTGCAGTTGCAAACCATAGTTGGAGCGGTGGCTTCTTCCTTGCTGAGCGGCCTTTCAGGTTATGTCGATATAGGCCTTGTTTTACTGTGGATATAGATACTTTTGTACCTGTTTCCTCCAGCATCTTCACAAGGTCCTTTGCTGTGGTTCTGGGATTGATTTGCACTTTTCGCACCAAAGTACGTTCATCTCTAGGAGACAGAATGCATCTCCTTCCTGAGCGGTATGACGGCTGCGTGGTCCCATGGTGTTTATACTTGTGCACTATTGTATGTACAGATGAACGTGGTACCTTCAGGCATTTGGAAATTGCTCCCAAGGATGAACCAGACTTGTGGAGGTCTACCATTTTTTCTCTGAGGTCTTGGCTGATTTATTTTGATTTTCCCATAATGTCAAGCAAAGAGGCACTGAGTTTGAAGGTAGGCCTTGCAATACATCCAACGGTACACCTCCAATTGACTCAAATTATGTAAATTAACCTATCAGAAGCTTCTAAAGCCATGACATCATTTTCTGGAATTTTCCAAGCTGTTTAAAGGCACAGTCAATTTAGTGTATGTAAACTTCTGACCCACTGGAATTGTGACACAGTGAATTACAAGTGAAATAATCTGTCTGTAAACAATTGTTGGAAAGATTACTAGTAGATAAGTAGATGTCCTAACTGACTTGAACTTGAGGAGTGGTTGAAAAACGAGTTTTAATGACTCCAACCTAAGTGTATGTAAACCTCCGACTTCAACTGTACATAGTTATAGTTAATAAAGCTTTTAAAGAATTTGAAGTTGGGATAGCCTGAATTTTTTTAAGTTGGTCTTGTAGCTTAATTGGCCAATGAACAGGTCCATTTTTAAATGTTAATGTTAATTTAGCAAATTTAAAATTGTTATAGTTTAAAAAGTATACATAGTATAAAAAAATCATTTGACAAGCAATCTAAAGGTGTCCACATGCTTCCCAGACGAAACAGTTTGTGCATATATTATGCCGACATTTTGTGACATTTTTGTTCATTTTGGAATGTGTGTTCGGGAACACACATTTTTTGCTGGAGGCAAGCCGAAGTCGGTAGCTGAAGTCAACGCCCCTTCGTCGGTGATTGGTCAACAGTAGGGATTCTTCAATTTACATTTTAGTCATTTAGCAGACGCTCTTATCCAGAGCAACTTCCAGTTAGTGAGTGCATACATTTTCATACTGGCCCCCCGTGGGAAACGAACCCACAACCCTGGCATTGCAAACGCCATGCTCTACCAACTGAGCTACAGGGGACTATATCAATAAAGTCTTTGTTGTCATTCAATGAGAGACGATCGTTTTCATGCACATTTTTTCATTGAGAAATACTGCACTAAACATCTTAATTAGATGTAAAATTGCGCGACTAAGATCTCCTCGGCCAAAACTTCAACATTAATGACAGATTTCTTGAGCTATCTTAGCTTAATTCTGACTATTTTTAAGAAGTATATGCTAGCTATGGTGTCTCAAAATGGACAAAGTACTATTACCGCTTTCTTCTTGTTTTTCAAGCGGAAGTCTTTTAAGGGAGTATGCGAGCACACTTGTTCAGTTCGCCTAGCCTTAAATTGGTCCAGTCTGAACACATCAACGTTGGTTTGGTGTTGATAGCTTAAATGTTGTAGGAGGAGATTGGTCTAGCATATTTTATATTTTTACCATTCAAGTCTATGGGCCTTTTTTTGCAACTGAATTGCATTGGGAGCTCATTTAAATATTGTTATAGTTCAAAAAGTATCAATGCTATCAAAAATGTTTTCTAAAGCAATCCGTGGTGGGGCAGTCTGGACATTTAGAAGTTGGTTTGGTGTTAATAGCTTAAATCATTTAAGCTCTAGAGCGGGCTAAAAAAATCAAAGAAGAAGAATAGACCCTTTCTTTCTAAAACTAGCCGCCGAAATTGTCACAACCCCTATTACTAGCCTGTTCAACCTCTCTTTCATAACGTCTGAGATCCCCAGAGATTGGAAAGCTGCCGCGGTCATCCCCCTCTTCAAAGTATTTGAAAGCCAAGTTAACAAACAGATCACCGACCATTTCGAATCCCACCGTACCTTCTCCGCTATGCAATCCGGTTTCCGAGCTGGTCATGGGTGCACTTCAGCCACGCTCAAGGTCCTAAACGATATTATAACCGCGATCGATAATAGACAGTACTGTGCAGCAGTCTTCATCGACCTGGCCAAGGCTTTCGACTCTGTCAACCACCGCTTTCTTATTGGCAGACTAAATAGCCTTGGTTTCTCAAATGACTGCCTCGCCTGGTTCACCAACTACTTCTCAGATAGAGTTCAATGTATCAAATCGGAGGGCCTGTTGTCTGGACCTATGGCAGTCTCTATGGGGGTGCCACAAGGTTCAATTCTTGGGCCGACTCTTTTCTCCGTGTATATCAATGATGTCGCTCTTGCTGCTGGTGACTCTCAGATCCACCTCTACGCAGACGACACCATTTTGTATACATCTGGCCCTTCATTGGACACTGTGTTAGCAAACCTCCAAACGAGCTTCAATGCCATACAACACTCCTTCAGTAGCCTCCAACTGCTCTTAAACACTAGTAAAACTAAATGCATGCTCTTCAATCGAACGCTGCTGGCACCCGCCCACCCGACTAGAATCACTACTCTCGACGGGTCTGACCTAGAGTATGTGGACAACTACAAATACCTAGGTGTCTGGTTAGACTGTAAACTCTCCTTCCAGACTCACATTAAGAATCTCCAATCCAAAGTAAAATCTAGAATCTGCTTCCTATTTCGCAACAAAGCCTCCTTCACTCATGCTGCCAAACATGCCCTCGTAAAACTGACTATCCTACCGATCCTTGACTTCGGCGATGTCATTTACAAAATAGCCTCCAACACTCTACTCAGCAAATTGGATGTAGTCTATCACAGTGCCATCCGTTTTGTCTCCAAAGCCCCATACACTACCCACCACTGTGACCTGTACGCTCTTGTTGGCTGGTCCTCACTACATGTTCGTCGTCAAACCCACTGGCTCCAGGCCATCTATAAATCACTGCTAGGCAAATCCCCGCCTTATCTTAGCTCATTGGTCACCATAGCAGCACCCACCCGTAGTCTGCGCTCCAGCAGGTATATCTCACTGGTCATCCCCAAAGCCAACACCTTCTTTGGCCGCCATTCCTTCCAGTTCTCTGCTGCCAATGACTGGAACGAATTGCAAAGATCTCTGAAGCTGGAGACTCTTATCTCCCTCACTAACTTTAAGCATCAGTTGTCAGAGCACCTTACCGATCACTGCACCTGTACACAGCCCATCTTAAATTAGCCCACCCAACTACCTCATCCCTATATTGTTATTTATTTTGCTCTTTTGCACCCTAGTATCTCTATTTGCACATAATCTCTTGCACATCTAGCATTCCAGTGTTAATACTAATTGTAATTATTTTGCACTATAGCCTATTTATTGCCTTACCTCCATAACTTGCTACATTTGCACACACTGTATATATATTTTCTGTTGTATTTTTTGACTTTGTGTTTTTTTACCCCATATGTAACTCTGTGTTGTTGTTTTTATCGCACTGCTTTGCTTTATCTTGGCCAGGTCGCAGTTGTAAATGAGAACTTGTTCTCAACTGGCTTACCTGGTTAAATAAAGGTTAAATAAATAAAAAATAAATAAAATATGAGTATGTAAGAAATCTAGAGTTATGTTTTGCCTTCAGCAAGCACACGTAATTATTCCAAAATTGCCCTTTTCACATAAGCAATAGTAGGTCTCTCAGGGCCGGTCCTGGCCATTCTGCCGCCCTAGGCTTGACAGAAGATTGCTGCCCACCATTTGTAAAACAGGCCTTTGCATTGGTTTTATGTGTCCTGATTTCTGTGACTAATCAATTTGGCAATTAAGCTCTACAATATCAGATACACAACTTTATCAGGAGGAGTTATACTGAGCCTATTTGCAATGTGTTTACACAGTGGGAAATGCAGAAGTATTTTATTTTTTGCTAAGATCAGCTCCTGATGGATACAAATTTGAAACCACTGATCATGACAGTTTCTTAGTTACTTATTTGTTTAATTCTGCATCGTTGGTTAAGGGCTTGTAAGTAAGCATTTCAAGGTAAGGTCTACACCTGTTGTATTCAGCACATGTGATACATATAATTTGACTTGATTTGATTTAGCCCACAGAGTGAAACTCCTGGACAGCAGTTGTGAGTAGCCTGATTGTCCATTCATATTGTCCATTTTACTTTGACCTGTCCTGTTTTTAGGATATGTTGTTTGTTAACATGTCAGCGCATTTTTTATTTGACTGGGCGCCATTTAGGTTAGGCTATTTGATCGGAGAAATCTGCATGATGTAAAAAGTGTCCATCTCATTACATTGTCATACATTTTATCTCCAGCCTGTAGGCTACAGAAAAGGCCACATACTCTTTCTACCATATGCAATATCTGCTACATGATTTAGGCCTATGTTAGATAGTTTTTTTGACGGAACGTTGGTGGAGAGCTGCAGTGAGACTCCCTGGGGAGTCGCGCTGGCAATGGACAAGATACATATTTTGTGTCCCTGCCTTTGACAAAGTGGGCACTGCTTATTAGCCTATCACAGGACTGCAGCCGGGGCATCAGCGCTCACCTAAAAAGCCCATATGCCACTGGTTGAGAGAAATTGTCTTTGTTTTGGGGCATAATTATGTGAGGTTGTATGTGTTGTTGGAGGTGCGCCTTGGTCAATTAAACTCAGAAAATGTCGCCCTCGTCAATCTGCCTAATCCTGCCTAAAATGCACCAATTTGTAAATCGCTCTGGATAAGAGCGTCTGCTAAATGATGTAAATGTAATGTCAATGTCTCTGGTCCAGGGCGGTTGTCAGCGTTAGCAAGCCACACTAACTCCCTGGAAAAGAGTAACACAATGTAGTTTACCTTGTACCACCTCACTGACCGGTACGTGACCCCAGGTAAAGAATGTGCTTTACATCTCAGAACCGAGACCTCGCCGCATATCGACTTTGTATCTTCAGCTTCCTTCATAAGCCTGCTGTGCACGCAAACTGGAAAAATTGAAGGCAAATGGCAAGTTGAACCTTGATAGACAGCCCTTACGAAAAAAAGATTGCAGTCAGAGTGCAGTGCAGAGTGCAGTAATACTGCGTCCAAAATAACAGTTTTTTTTACTGCAGTAATTTTGCAGTTCAACTGCAGTTACTGCGTCCAAAATGCCACAGTCGACTGCAGTTACTGCACTTTTACTGCAGTTTCAAAACTGCAAAAATGTTTGTACGGGAAGACGTAAAGACTTGTTAGCCTAAAAGGAAATTTCTATTCACGTAGTGCAAAGGAATGGAGAAAGACCAGAGTACGCATTTTTTGTTCAGCACCAAAAAGTTATCTAGATTTCGCTGTCGTATTCAAGGCGTAGATATAGCCTGCTAGAATATTAAAGTAAAAGTAGCCGTCAAAGTGAAAGTAGACTAGACTATCTGTTGAGGAAGAGAGAGGTCCAACTCGGCGGAAAATCTGTCTTCCTCCAGCAGCTGGTGTTTTTTCGTTGTTTCGCCCACCAAGTTTTTGTATAGAGGTCAACAAGTGTCGAATTTGGTCAACAAAAAATGAATGGCTTATTTGTTTACTACGTGAGGTTTATTTGATCGAATAGAAGTTTCGTAATGCTTAAATTGTTACGAGTGTACTAATATAAGTAGGACACGTGACATCCCGAGAAAAAACACTTTATATCGGAGTCTCGAGATGGCTATGCATATTCATGCAATGAGGGTAGTAACGTAGCATCTCTCTCCGTTGAATACAGGCAGTGATGTCAACAACCCTCATCGAATATTAAAAAAATTATTACAATAATTAGATGTATCCATCAATCCAAAGAAAGGATAGGCGGCAGCTAGACAGCTCGCCTTGCCGGAGAGACATGTATCTTGTCAGTATATCCATAATCTTTGACTGCAGTAAATCTGTTGACTGTCCTATTTCCACGCCCCGCATTTATTTATTAAGGAGCTCTTGCCTTTTTTTTTTGTTGCCCTCAGCCCAGTTGGGATGGTTTGGGATGGGTCTGACGGCAGAGTGGGGGAGAGGCAGCCAACGGGTGCTCAGCATATGTGGGAGCTCCTTCAGGACAGGTGGGGCTGGTTGGGAGAGTGCTGAGAGTGCGCAGGGCTGTCAGGGGGGCTATTTGAAGAATCTCAACTATGGAGTGTATTTTGATTTGTTTAACACTTTTTTTGGTTGCTGCATGATTCCATATGTGTTGTTTCGTGGTTGTGATGTCTTCACTATTGTTCTACAATGTAGAAAATAGTAAAAATAAAGAAAAACCCTTGGTGTTCTAAAACTTTTGACCGGTAGTGTATGTGATGGGGAATTGATAACAAATAAACCATCAAAGGGCAAACAATCCACACAATGAAACAATGAATTGTGGGGATCTATTTTCTTATAACTAGATGTGATGCCTAGCTTAGAAAGAATACATTAATGATTAAACATATAATAGGTTTGTGCTGTACTGATATAGATTGTTTAACATAACAAGCTGGGATTAATGTGAGGAACTGATAGGCTTGTGACTCACACAAACACTGCCTCTTTGTTAAACCGCTCAAGGACATGTGTTCTGCTACAATAGAAGAACAAACTATGTCTGAGGTTGCTGACTCGAGACAAGTTGTAAAGATAACAACTAACACCTGGCAACAGTGAAGCGCCAAGGGGCTGGGACCAGCCTGAGCGCCAACGATAGGCTGGGTAAGTTTAAACCACGCTCAGTCTCTACTCTGATAGGCCAGCCTGGAGCAGGAACTACCTCTGTCAGAGTATTTAAAGAAGGACTTATAACAATGGCTCAGTTCTCTGACTGCCCTGCGTGGTGTTTCAGTGGACCCCTATATACGAACATCATATTTACCATTGAAGTGTTTTGCATTAATTAAAATACTAGTCTATTTTAGAAGACGTGTATTGACCTCTTTTTGTTACAATACCAGATTTGAATTGACGCAACTTAACAGAATGCACAAGAATTGGTGGGAGACAAAAATGTAGCCAATTATGACATGTTCACATTCCAATAGCACTTGCTTTACATGATATACTTAGTCCGTCAAGGAATCCTATTCCACGAGAACAAGGTGACTTTTTTCTAGAGGAAAGTCTATACTTTCTATACTTCTACAATTCGTTTTAGTCTCATGCCTGTAAAGATACAATTTAATGCAAGGACTCCTTTCTCTGCTCTCCGCTGTTGCTTAGCAATTGAACGGGCCGCTCTGCTATTGATAATTAAATTACCTCATTAGAGGTTGCAGCCACAGGCTCCAAAGAAGTGAAATCCAATTGCCATTGATTTCTGAAATCTGAGGCTGTTGTATTTTGCTTCTCTTTTTGCAGTGAACCGGATTAAATTAAACTTTCTATTGTCCTTTTCATTTGCAGCCTCTCTGGGGGCTCGTCGGTGCAGCAGGCACTTGAAGCTTGGTCTTGGCAAACTCGCCTTCTCCTCTCCCCCTCCCCTAACGCTGTTAGAAAATGGCTTATTTAGTCATAATCAGATTGTGCTCTATGGAATGAAGTTAATTGGAAGCATTAGAGGACTTCAATGACTCCAGATGATATGGCTCTCCAAAATGCCAGTGTAAATCACAAAGGCCTTTGTTGCTGAAATTGATTATTGATGACCGCATGTTTCAGTCAGATAAATTTGGCGTCGCCCTCCGAAACAAGTTAACCCTGTGAGGCTCGCTGCTTACAAGCATGGACCCTTATCAGTGTGAAATCAGGTTGCCACATTCTCTACTTTAGATGGCATAATGTTTTGTCAGTTGTGTTGCATAGGGACTGTCATAAGCGTCAGTGAAATGCAGTGGGCGAAGTCAAACGCAGGACACAGAGCTACTGGAAACGTACTTTACTAGAAAGTAAACTGAGTACATACAACCTCCACACAGGGAGGAAAATAACCCGCACACTAACGACTGCCGATAACGAAATACAATCACACACAACACACAATGAAAGACAGAGGGTTAAATAGGGAAGACAATACAACATAATGGAAAACAGGTGTAGACAATCAAGACCCAACAAGTCAAACACCGAAACATACATCGGTAGCAGCTAGTACTCCGGGGACGACGAACGCCGAAGCCTGCCCGAGCAAGGAGGAGGGGCAGCCTCGGCTGAATCCGTGACAGGGACAAAAGAGGAGAAATCTCTTGATTTGGTTCTGACAGTGAACTGAATGGACCTAGGCCAGCCTATCGTCTGTCAGTCTCCTTTGTACCTGGAGAGACCAGACTTTTCCTAAGTGCCTCCTAGCAGCAGTTCCCACTAGTATGAAAATGTATGCACTCACTAACTGTAAGTCGCTCTGGATAAGAGCGTCTACTAAATTACTAAAATGTAAATGTAATGTAAAATGATGACCCTCATATTTGATAAGTAGGAAAGGCAACGCAAAACGTAATTGAAAGGAGATATAGTTATTGGCTCTATGTAATATATTTCAGACTGTAACTGTAACATGGACCTAATTTTTATGAGAAGAAAAATGTATCGAGACCACTAGGCTGCTGTAGTCTCGCGCACCAGACAGAAAATCATGATATTTCGCTGTGCCTGTGCGCAACTTCGACGAGGGTAGGTTGCCTGCGTGCGACCGCATATAAAACAATCCTATAGGTCTGTGTTTCTAAGAAAATGTAATAATTTACGTCTTAACCATATTCAAAAGGCGTTAGCCGAGCCCATTTTCAGCTGCTTTGATGGGATTTTCCAGGTGAGGAATTCCCCTTGCTCTGGACCAGGCTCGGCTGCGGTCTCGAAGCACTGAACCAAGAGCTAGAATTTCCACTAGCAGGGAATTCCCCTGGCGTCGAGTCCTGTGAATCGAGTCACTGGTATTCTTTTAAAGGGCCACCAAAATTTACATTTACATCTTGTCTCGGTATAGTCAGTTTTCCCTCACAGCACAGGTATTTGAATAAAAAAGTCAAATCATTGCCTGATCTTTTTCCAAAGGGCAAGGGCATCTCAATCTTTTCTTTTCTGAGGCCCCTTAAAACAGTTACAGGAAATCTGGGGTCCCCTATGGGCGTTCTGGCCCTGCTTACTTGTCCAAGGCTTACTTTGTAAAATTGTTTCAGAAAATCTGGGGTCCCCCTACATTAGAGATGTCATTTTAAAGAGTAAACTGGCTGCTTGATATTAATTGTTGACACTCACTATATCAAATTGAACATTGCTTTTGATATTTTAATGTGTGTCAAACTCTATTCTCCCTACTTTTTCAAGGAACCTTTAAAGCTCTGAGTCCCTTTCCCTTAGAGCCCTAGGTCCCCTGCTTGAGAACCACTGGCTTATTTTTATTTATTTTACTTATCCCTTATTTTACCAGGTAAGTTGATTGAGAACACTGTTAGAGCCGATTTGGGCATATTTTGTATAAAAGACTGAACATACTGAGCTCCATGTACATTTGTGTAAATATATTAAATATTAATGTATATGATGAAATATTAGGTACGTACCTTTATGATTTATTTACCGGATTGAGATATATTCATTTGTTATTAGTGTAACTCAGTTTTTGGCCCCCCCTCTTGCCCATTCATTGTACTGTGTTAATTGTGTTAGTATAAAGGCAGGAAGTTGGGCCTTCGGGGGGAGGAGTCCTTGCTAGATGCGGGAGCGGTATAGTTTTTTGACCATATAGACATACAGAAATACAGACAGACAGGTCATATTATATTATGTATTTGCATTTCAAGTAATCTCTGCTTTAAGTTGATTGGAGAATACCTTTTTGTTAGATAAGAAGAATAAACATTTTTGTTGCACTATATCCCTGGATCTCATTGAATGTTTGGCCGTTTGGAAACGTTGAGTGTGGACTGTATGCGTCCGAAACAACCCCGCTTCAGGCTAGGGCAGTGGCTATGGTAAAGAGGAAAGGAAGCCACTACATTCAAGTCAAAAAACTCCGTGAAGGATTACTACCGGAAGGAAATCTCCGGTTCGGACACACGCTGGATTTTGTTCTATTTGTAATTGCATTCGGACCATAAGGACAGCTCGCTTGGAAGGATTTGAACTCCTAGATTTCGCCAGCCGTGAGTAACCACTGCGAATGAATGAGCTGCCCTGTTCAAGGCGATCGTTTGATCATGCATATTATGGAAGCGCAAATGTGCTTATAATTGGAATGTTTGATAAACTTGGGAATGGAATTCAAAATACAGCGCTGTGAAAACAATTAAGAAGTTTAAGTTTGGGAAACACAGATCCTATGCACAATGTAGCCTAATCATATATCTAATATTTGGCCTAACGTGGAAATGCAATCCATCAAC